CTACGGCCAACGAGTGTACGGACTGTCTGAGGCAGTTGGTGAGTTTTCTTTCAATAGTGAAAACAAAAAATAACAAATTAGATTCTTTTAAATGAGCACTGTCGACCACTCTGAGTCTGTGAGAGCTCAGCTGACATATTGGTTTTTATATTTAAACTGTAAGCTGGAAATAATTTCACTCTATTCAGCTTCCTTGTGAATTTGTTTTGAAGTCCTTGGGGAACAAAGAAGGCTTCAATTGATTCTGCTTCACAGTTTTGTGTCAAATGTAAAAAAACATAACACAAGGCTGAACACAGTTAATCTTGTTTTTCTGGGTCTATTCGACTTCAACAAATATAATTTTTTTGGTCCTGATCGATGTTAAAAATAATGAAAAGAAATCGAGATATGCTCTGTTAAAAGATTTTACAATCAATAAGTCAATTCTTAAATCCCATTGTTTAAGACTTGCTTTTATGTAATGTGGTGGTCTTTTTATTGCCTTCAGTCTTCGTTTTCATGCTTTTTATTTGATTTACCCCTTTCCTGTCCTCCTCCTTCATCATCCTCCTGTCTTCTCTCTGCTGTCATACTTCTTGTCTTCTTCCTTTTATGCTTTACTGACTGGACCTTCATATTGTCTTGCTGTGTTTGGCCCTGTTTGGGTTTCTGTTGTTGTGTAGGACTCTCCTTTTGTCCATCTGTCAAAACTGTTCTTAAAGGTCTAATATGTAAGATATCAACTGAATATGATCAAAAAATGACCTTACTGTATCATTAGACATTAAGGAAACATGCTATGTTGAAGTGCTGGCTTCTCTTACAACAATGCAGCAGCCAGTATGTCCTCCTTCTAAGTTGTGTGGAATGGTCTGTTTTTGTTTTGACCAGAGAAGGTAGACTGATTTAAGGCACCTCCACACCGCCGTTTTGCCCCTCGGTTTGCCTTGCAAAGATCAAAACAACAGGTTTGAAAGCGGTAGACAACTGGTTCAGATAGATCTGATTCTACCCGATCTAAAAAGCCTCTGCATGTTTCTAATAAGCTCCACGAGCAGAAACATTGTTAAAATATTGGAGATGCTTTTGAAAAATGCAAAGAGGTTAGAACGCAGAAAGGTTTACAGATCGATGCAGAGCTGGCTAAACACTGAAGCTTCATTGTCTGCAACATGGCAACCTGCGTGCACATCGATTCTGGGGAGGAGGGGGCGGCTGGAAATTGTTCTTTCCAATTGAATTTGGAATGCAGTCCCATTTGAAACACTAGGTGTCAGAGTTACACATTGCTCCTTTAATTTGTTTTTATAATGAATGTTTTCACAGTTATTTTTTAGTATCAGGAGAACTTGCTGCTGTGGCGTTGTGTTTCCATCATCCCTGTAACTTTGTCCCTTGTTGTAACACAGAGTTGACAGTAAGAAGACACTTTGGAAATAATCAAAATATAACTGTGTGAGAAAGTCAAAGTAAAAAGAATGCATTTTAAATGAACTGCACTGACTCAGTTTTACGACACGTAGTGCACAGTTATTGAGGAGAAAAAAAGCCTCTCTTCTGCAGAGCACATACATAATGTTGCAGACAGCTGCGGCTGAGTTCAAATATGTTCAACATGAAAAGCTGTGACAGGGAAATAGCCTGAACATTATGGGCATGCTAACCTCTCTGACACCTTTATTAGAGACAAGTCGAGCAGACACACTCCTGGCTGAGTTATTACTTATGGTAGCCGGGCCCTAATGGGCTGCACATAAAGAAGATTTATGGCTGTGTTTGTAACACTTCTGAAATTGGTGCTCATAAGTTCGGATAAAGGAGCGTAACCACCAGGAATATTTAGAGCACACGTGTGGCGACTTATGAGATTTAGAGCTGAGACACAAATGTGGAGGCCCCCCTCCTGAGAATTTCCACTGATTTTGTCTTCATTTGTGTACTTCTAACATGTAAAGGAATATAGGAAACTGTTCTCTTCTCTTCTCAGTTTTCAATAAGGCAACAAACTAAGATAAATCATAAAATGAGAGAAGCTGTGTGAATTCAGGGACACTCACACCCAGATGAATGTGGTTACATTTAGTTTATTGGTTTGGGGCGTTTGTAGAATAATCCAGTTTTATGAACCCATTTGAAGAAAGACCTCCTGATGGGGCTGTTTTTAACACGTTCCTGTTTTTAATGAATGCGTTAAAACAACTGTAATAAAAAACGTATTTTAATCTTAATGCAGCTAAAAACTAACCTAACATTGTTCATTCATTTCTAGGGTCATTAATTCGCTAATTGAGATTAAGAATTGGCGATAACTTGTGAGATGGCAGGAGCAGCAGGACGAGCAGGACTGTTGTTTCTGGAATCCTGTTTTAAATGATCAGTTAATTAATATACACATGAAAACTACAACTGCTTGACTAAGGTTGTCAATACTTCCGTTCTTTACTATACTGCGTGTTTTAAAACGATGCAATCTCCATTATTTTATTCTATTGAAGCTTCAAGTAAACTTCTGATCTTCAGTCACATTCTGAACCAATAGCTGCTGCGAGTCGGGGCTGTGGTGGACTAGTAGTTAGTGCATGTGCCCCATGTACAGAGGCTGTAGTCCTCTAAGCAGGCGGCCCAAATTTGAATCCGACCTGTGGCTCCTTTCCTGCATGACGTTCCTCAAAGTCCATCCTCTCCGTCTTTTGCCTGTATCACTTTTCAGAAAATGTGTGCTCAAACAGGCTGTTTAGCGATGTTCCCTTCATGACTTCACAAAGGGCAGTAACCCCTCCCCCAGGTGGGTGAGTCTGCCTTCTCAGTGTAAACAATATGGCATGGTTCCAGAAAGCTCGAACCACCCAAGCCCTCCTAGAGGGGCGTTGTTGAACAGCCCTCAGTTGCATTTAAAGCTACAGACACAGAAACAGCCTGTTCTGAGCAGGACTGAAATAGAGGGGTTTATAGGCATGATCAAATACAGGGTCAGAGTGGATTTAGAACAAGAAACTTCACAGACATGTTTTGGGGAGCTCTGAGATTTATTTAAACTTGGTGAAAAGGAGGATAATATGTGACCTTTAAAGAGATATAAAGCAATTGAAAGTCCTAGAAATTACATCACAACAAGCTGAAATACTGAAGTTTGCACATGGTGCACTCATCACAAGCATCTCTCAGCAATGCTTCAATGTACTTACAGTATACCCATTTAAATTATGTTAGAATTTAAAATGCAGAACTTGGAGGATGGAGGCCTGACAAGAAAAGAAGTATTGTGAGAGCACTGGCTGTTTTCCATCAGTAATCTGTGTAATGCAGAGTGTGGAGTCTAAACGAGCGGCCGCTCAGGGCTCGGACAGAGATTAATAACACATACAGCAGGACAGATGATCTATCTGCAGTCTGCAGTCCAAACACGACTCGCATGACGTCAGGTTAACTCAAACAAACCTCAGCGATTTACAGTGACGCGTTCACTGACTCTGACAAATAATCAGCTGTCAGAGTGTCGCTGGCAGCCCGAGTGAGGAGACCGCCAGAGACTAAACAGACAGAAATAAAAGGAGGATAATGTGTTTATTGAAAAAGATATCAGCAGAGATCAGCTGGGAGTTTTATTGTTTTAGCTTTAACACAAAGATTTATTCACTTTGAGGCAAATCCAACCTTCAAAGCAGCTGAAACTCATATTTTATGAAGAAATTGCAGCTCTACGGAGCTTTTTAAAGACTTTAAGCTCAGTGTTTAAGAGTTAAAGAAAATGACGGCTGTTAGCCAGATGCTCAGACATTCAAACGTTCTCAGTTGACTACTCTCTTTCTGATCCAGGTCATGTCACTTTTACTTTTGAGAACTTGGTCTTTTTTTTTTTAAATATGAAACTAATTGAGTCTTTGTTTTTACAAGTTTCATTCACTCTGCAGTGGTTTATGTTAAATAAAATATCCCACTGGCTCTTTCTGGGCTCCATCATTGTAACCACAGGAATAACTTCTGATTCCAGAACAAAACTGACCTATCGATTCGACACTAAACTTTCTTTTCTGCATATGTCAGCATTGATCTGCAGATTTGGCAAACGACTACTTTTTTTTTTGCTGCATTGTGTTCCAACTCCAGCGACCCCTCCAGTGTAACGGCAACTTTGTCATCGTTCTGTGTCCATTCTCTCTTTTACTCTCCCTCATCTCTGCCAGTGATTTTGTCTTCTTTAAATGGAGATTTTTGCTTTGCTTTTTTTGCTTGGGATCTTGAGTTTTAAGGACGATTTTAGTTTATGAGAGAGATCCAGAGCTACAATCTGTGTCCGAGTGTCCGATCCGAGTGTAGTGAACTTTCTTGAACAATTCATTTTCACTACAACACAGGCCTTTTTAAATGTCTGTTTTTCCAAGGCAACTTCCCAGAACTCCAGACTCTCCTATTTCTGAGAGTGTGGCATGATGGGATTTGTTGTTTTTGTCCTTTCAGTCAGGAACAGACATAACCTACCCTGACATCTCAGTTGGTACCTCACAGAAAGGAACAGACAGGCCTCACGGGTAGTCTGACAGTGAGAAGTGTGTGTGTGCGTGCATGTGTGTGTGTGTGTGTGTGTGTGTGAGTGTGTGTGTGTGTGTGTGTGTGTGTGTGTGTGTGTGTGTGTGTGTGTGTGTGTGTGTGTGTGTGTGTGTGTGTGTGTGTGTGTGTGTGTGTGTGGTGAATAAGTGAAGGCCCTCAGTGAACCTGCAGCAGGAGGATGTTACAGAAGCAGACAGTTGGAGGTTAACGCCACCTGTTGTCTGTTTCATTTTCTCTGAAACAAAAGTGTCTGCTTCATTTTCTAGCATGGTTACATGGAAGTGCTGAATAACATGACTTTGTATGTGTGTGTGTGTGTCTTTCAGTGTCAGTGGGGTTTGAATACGAGTCGTGTCTGGACCTCATTCTGTGGGAGAAGAGGACGGCCATCTTGCAGGGCTACGAGATGGACGCGTCCAACATGGGAGGGTGGACGCTGGACAAACATCACATCCTGGACCTGCAGAACG